GTGAGATAAAAAGTCACAATTACCTTTTTTATTTTTTCATCCCGTGGTAGAAACAAGCTTTCATAAACAACACAAACAACACTAAGATAAACTGCAATTTCATAATGAAAGCTTCTAACACAAAACTTCCCACTGGTAATTTAGTTGTAATGGTGTTCATGAGCCCTCAACTCACAAAAACGATCATTCAACATGACCTGAAAGCAGAAATAGATCACGCTGAGCATGTTCTGAAATCTTGGGTTAATTAGGATCAGCTCAGAAGTTTGACCTCACAGGGCCGGTGAAACTCATACCCTCCCGTTGACCCTGCCTTATCCTGACCCCATTCTTTGCCCACATCGCCTCTACCCAGGAAATGGCAGATTTGGTGACTTCCGCAGGGGGGCGAGGAGGGTGAGGGGGTCTGGCCGCCGGGGTCACAGTGGAGGCACAAACATTTCATTCAGCGGCGCACCATGTGGACACCAGCGTCCCGTTCCAAACGCTCTGCTTCAGCTGCTGCGGCCCATGTTTACTCTACAGGGGAGAGGAGCGAGGGGGTGGTGGGACATAGACAATGCTGCCTTTTAATGCCCTGCCAAGCCTACGGTGGGGTGAGGATGTCTGCATGGGGCAGAGCAACACCTTCTCCCAAAACTTCACATTCGAGTGCTACCGCTTGGCTCCGTCTCAGCCCAGCACCTCCACGGTGCGAAAGAACTCCCTGAAACCGATGAGTTCCTTTAGAGGTTTTCTGAGGTGAACAAATAAATGCAGTGTTTAAATATGAGGTAGACATAACAAAACCTGCGATGTATTAAACTTGAACGATATATCGCAGCCCACGTAGCGTCTGAGGCTAATATTTACCTTCTCCAGTCGCCACAAATGCACTCCAAGAGAGAAATTGAGAAGAAAGATCATGACAACTTAATAGTAATCTTCACTAAAACTAGTATGTTTTGCCAGTTGAAATGAGTTAATTCCTTATATAATGCGAGATGTCTTGTAATATAGCCAATAAATTCTTATCAAGGCAAATACAGACATCTGGATCGGCATCTGTAATCATTACTTTGCGGTTTATGGCTTTATATGACACTTAACGTGAAGCAAACTCTGCATCCTGATAGAGAAATCATCTTGTGAACATGCATACCATTCAAAAGTTTGGGGTCATTAAAGGGATAGTTCAGCCAAAAATGAAAATTCTGTCATTAATTACTCACCCGTATGTCGTTCCAAACTCGTAAGACCTTCGTTCATCTGCGGAACACAAATTAAGATATTTTTGTTGAAATCCGAGAGCTTTCTGACCCTCCATAGACAGCAAGGTAACTACCACGGTCAAGGCCCAGAAAGGTAGTAAGGACATCGGTAAAATAGTCCTTGTGTCATCAGTGGTTTAACCGTAATTTTACGAAGCTGTGAGAATGCTTTTTGTGCGCAAAAAAAAAAAAGACTATTCAACAATTCTCTTCCGCGTCAGTCTCCATCGCCATTTACGAGAATATCACGACACATGCATGAATAATGATGCTGAAAATTTAGTTTTGTGTCACAGGAATAAATTACATTTTAATATATATTCAAATAGAAAGTAGTTTACATTGTAAAAGTATTTCACAATATTGAACATAAAAGACTTCTTTCAAAAACATTTAAAAAATATTACTGACAAATCTCAGGACGTACCCTATACTGCAAAACATCCTGTTCTTAATAAACAATTTAAAAATGTTACAATAAAATATATAAACACCCGTTATGTATTTAGTTTTATTGCAGTCCCCCCCTCCGTGTTTTAAACAAGTTAAAACTGTTTATGAGTAGGAAAATATTGCCACTAAATTTGTCTATGGTTACTAAGGTTGCTCGATAATGGCAAAAATCATATATTTAGTCAATACCGCAAACACAATTATTTAACAATTAGGTGTGGGCGATATGACATATCTGATGATATATATCAACTGTATTTTGCTGGAAATAAGGCTACTATGATATACAATTTTAATAACAGTGAAATTTCATAATTCTTGATTTCAATTTCGATACCACAGCTGAAACTAATACTAGACTTAGTTTAAAACGGTATAAATACAAACAATAAATAACAGTGGTGACAAAAGCAATAGCATAAGGTTGACAAATGGCTAAATAATTAATAAATAAATATAATAATCAAAAGGTAAAAGGTTTTTTTTTGCAGGTTGAAAGAAATTCAGTGTGTGTGTGTGTGTGTGTGTGTGTGTGTGTGTGTGTTATAAAGTAATAGAAATGACAAAAAGAAACAAAATTACTAAACATTTCAAATGCAAATATAAAAATAAACTAACATTTTATTAATTTCTAAACAAATTTCAATATAAAATAAAATTAAATAACATTTTTTTATATTGGCTCATAAGTGATACGATAGGGTTGTGCATCCCTAAAATGGACCCTATTTACTTTTTTTAATAAACATTCCTGGTTTTATTATTCACAGTTGATCAGTGCATGTTATTCCAAAAAGAAATGAGTGTTTACATTCATGTTAAATCAAAATGTGAAATGAGTTTTCTTTTCGACTAACGTCCCAACTGCCTCCTATTGTTCAACCACCTGAAAAAAGTGACGCTTCAAAACCTAATAGATAAAATAAAGTCCTTCCCAGCATGTTTTTCTTGTGAAATGTCCATATTCACTCAAAAATATGTGGTATTATGCAAGTAAAATGGGCTTTGAATGCTGCTTTTAGGTTCTGACTGGAAGCTCAGATCACATAATAGAGTCGAGTTACAAAGCAATGAGTATTTATCCACCGTATTGAGACATAATTATGTGAAAATCATTAACTAAACCCTTAACATACCACACACATCACGTCTCTAACCCCACCCTGGTCTGAGATAGCGCAGGTTCAGTCCACACGGGATGCTTACACACCAAACCGAGTAGACGGCTGGAGATACTACGGATTGCACATTAACTCCTGCCGTGACGCAACCTGTTTATTCTTCTGACCAATCCTCGCTAGTTGTTGTAAAACTGCCTGTCTGTTTCTTTGGCACAGCATCAAAGACCAAAAATTGGACCGTTTGAGAACTTTCCGAGTGGACACAGATCATTTCAGGACATAGTGGGGGGGGCCGAGGACGCAGATCTGCTTGATAATGCAGCTCTGTGTGCAGTTATCTGCCGATTATTGGCCCTGCCGGCTGGGCTGTTGAACTCAGTGACCCTCTGCCTTCACCTCGCTGACCTTCCTGGTGTTGGCACAAGCTAAACCCTCTCAAAGAGCCATTCAGCACGGCTGGAAGCATGCATACGTGCTTATATATGTCTCGCAAACAGAGATGTGAAACTAGTTTGAGGTGGAGCTCTGTGAACGTTGTATTTCGCATGCAGCCGGCAGGAATGTGGAAGCTGTAATGGGTGTAACTGTGAGGACTGTATGTGCACGTTTGAGGCAGGGGGAATGAGAGGAAGCAACTGTGTGAGATCCGGCTGACAGTGTGTGTGTGTGGTGTTTAAAAAGACAATGAGGAAAAGGGAGAAAAACTTTCTTGCGAAGTATGAATGTCTAATGAAATTCAGGACAACAGCATCTAAATGCTCGCGTGTGTGTGTGTTTCTGTATGCAGCTGCATTCTGTCATACTACTTTATGCACTATATAGCATGCATACTATGCAGAGTATGCAAATTGCTTCCATGTAACAGAGCAAACTACCTAGAGTACCTCAAAAGCGCTCACTGAATTCATTTGCTAGCTCGTAAACAACTTTGTTTCCAGCCGTACTAATAATTAACATTAATGCTCATTTTTTATGTTTTTGAAAGAAGTCTTTTATGCTCACCAAGGCTGCATTTAATTAATCAAAAATACAGTAAAAACAGTAAAATTGGGAAATATTATTACAATTTAAAATAACTGTTTTCTATTTGAATATATTTTTAAAAATCATTTATTTCTGTGATGCAAATCTGAATTTTCAGCATCATTACTCCAGTCTTTAGTGTCACATGATACTTCAGAAATCATTCTAATATGCTGATTTGATGCTCGAGAAACATTTCTTATTATCAATGTTGAAAACAGCTGTGCTGCTTTATATTTTTGTGGAAATTGATACATTGTCCCAGGATTCTTTGATAAACAGAAAGTTCAAATGAACAACATTATTTTGAAATAGAAATGTTTTGTGAGATTATAAATATCTTTACTGTCACTTTAGATCAATTTAATGTGTCCTTGATGAATAAAAGTATCAATGTTGTCAAACTTTTGAAATATGTACATAGTGTAGTTTCACAAATTCATTTTTTTAAAATAGTAATAAAAATATTACATCAGAACAATTGGTTAAAATCAGCCGATGTTCAGAGATTATGTCTATAAAAAACTATTCCAAAGCAGTGTAATCAATTATAAGTGATCTAAAAGTTATTAGAAAAAAAACAGAACCACCAAACTTTAAAAATTGGCAGATATTGTTCTACATAAACTGATATCAAATTTTCCCTTAGTTCATTCCTAACGTTTATTATTTTTAATGCTCATATCTGATATAAAAACAGGATTATAGATGAAAAATTTAAAGTAAATGAAAATTTCAAATGTTGCTTGGAAACGAACTGGAATAAGTTTAATTTGAAGATAAAAATGGACTAAAATGACTGGAAAAGGAAAAAAAAAAAAAAAAATCTAAATTGTAATATTAAAAAAAGTAATAAAAATGAGAAAAACACAGCTAAAATGACTAAAAATTAAACCTTAATTAAAGTGAAATTCTAAAAAGAATAATAATACTAAAATACACTGAAACATACTACATTTAAAAAGTTGTCTCTGTCAGCAAAGAGATGCTCCTACAACTGTCACCAAAATCCACAACACACCTCTCCATTTGAATGACAAGCATCAAATTATGGGACAGTTCTGGTCCATCTAAGGGAGCTACTTTTGGATTCATCTTTCCAGCATGAAAATCATGGTAGTGTTATGAATGCTCACTGCTCTTATGCAACAACTGTCCTGTGTGAAAGTTTCAATGTCCTCACCTAAATGCTCTCTGTGTCTGTCTGTGAAGGTTGCAGGCTCCGGAACGCATGCTGTCCTTAGACGAGCCACTGGACCTGAAGGTGCCGAGGGGGCGGGTCAGTGGGCGGGACAGAGGCGCCAGGTCTCCACCCACTCCCTCTCCCATTCACGGCAAGGGGGCGGGGCAGCTGCGGATGGCAGACGACGGGACCGCCGTCATCGTTCCAGCATCTCCTGCCTCTCCACACACAGGTAGACAAATCAGTACAGTAAGACATATAGAGCACTTTAATCGCAGAGAATAAAACAGAGGTGTGTATGTCAGCAGGTGTCCTGCAGGACAAGTCGGAGACCCCCACACCGCCCGCCGTGGACCTGAGCATGTCCCCGTCCTCCCGAAACACAGCCTGCTCTCCGGATCTCTCCAATGGAAACGGCTCAGCTCCCATTTTCCCTGGGGTGAGTGCATTTTTTCAGTTTTATGATATGTTACGATGACATTTTGGGTTGCACCCTGCAGGCCATTTGTTTACACTGCAAAAATGACTTGAAAAGTCTTTTTTGATTTGCTTATTTAGTTAAGATATGTAAAATTCAAGATCAAAATTATCTTAAAAATTGAGAAGCAACACTGCATTGGATAATAAGACTTTTCACCAAATGTTCCTTTAATACAAGTGTATTTTCTGTTAGTTTTCACATTGTAGATACACTACTATTCAAAAGATTCATGTCTGTAAGATTTTCTTTAAAGAAATGTATTCAGTAAAGACACATTCAATTGTTTAAAAGTGACAGTAAAGACATTTATAATGTTACAAAAGATTTCTATTTCTAATAAATGCTGTTCTTTCTATTCATCAAAGGTTTCCACAAAAATATTAAGCAGCAAAAGTGTTTTCAACATTGCTAATAATCAGAAATGTTTCTTGAGCAGCAAATCAGCAACTTAGAATGATTTCTGAAGGATCATGTGACACTGAAGACTGCTGAAAATTCAGCTTTGCATCACATGAATAAATTACACTTTAAAACATATTCAAATAGAAAACAGTTATTTAGAATTTTAATAATATTTCCCAATATTACTGTTTTTACTGTAATTTTGTTCAAATAAACACAGCCTTTGTGAGTTAAAAGCAGGTAAAAAGGTGAAAGAAATACACGTTTTAAAGATTAAGTTAGCTGAAAATACATAAAATCTTATGCAATCTTACTTCTCAAGTAAATGTATCTTGTTTTAAGGATTTGTAGATATTTTAACTGAAATACAAGACATTTTTTATTCAGTGTGCCTTTAGAAGCACTATAATTAGCTTTACACTAGGTCTACTACTTCATAAATGAGATGTAGGTTAAGGTAACTAATAATAAGCAACCAAAGACTTGGTTCTGTTTGGGTCATAAGCATGAGTGCATTAAACGCACCGGACCGTCCCCCACCTTCCCCAAGATGAGACATTCAGATCTATTACCCTCAGTGACCCAAAACTGGTGTTTCTTATCAAATGCCCCCTGTGTCCCTTCACAAAAGTGTCTCTCTTTCGCTGTCTGTGGGGCTGACGGATGGGACGCAAGGTTAAATCAGATTTACAGCAAGGTACAGCCACACAGAGCTCTTTCTGCTTAATTTAATTCGCTCAAAATTGAATTGGGAGCGAGATGCATGGCTTTTTGTGTGCCTATGTGTGTCTCCGATGCCTGCCATGCCTCCTTCAAGCCAATGGATGAACAGTGGCCAGGTCTTAGATGAGGACACTGCTGAGCCTCATTTTCCACGAACATTTCTCACATAGCTGAAAACGTTCCCAGACAGCCCTGACACTGTTGTCCAGTCAAAACCATCATTGTTTCTGCTCTAATTAACCCTTCCTAAGCATCACTATTACCAGGGGCAGACTTAACCAATAAGCAAGGTAAGCGGCCGCTTAGGGCCCCGGGGAATTAGGGGGCCCCATCTGATATTGGCGAAACATATTTGGCAAACGCTCCAGTATGTATTTGCGTTATGGAGAGCCTAAAATGTTCACTCACCGCTCAAAATGCAGAGTTGTTGTTAGGTGCTGAGTTCTGCAAGCTTGCGAATCCTCTCATTACAACAACGTGCAGATACGATGTAAATAAGATATTCATTGTGCCGTGCAGACAGCTTCATTGATTAACGGAACGTCATGAGATCACAATGAACTGAAGTGAATAACAGCTTTAAGTGATATATAATACTGTCTGACTGGCTCAGAACAGAGATATTCTCCTCAGAGAAGGAAGAATCGTGTTTCGTGTCATGATTTTATTTGTCTCGATGTTTCAAAATGACTCGCTTTTGTGCTTTTCCTAGGCGCGCCGGCGAATGCGATGACTGGAGATTTTCGCTTAATAATAGATTACATTTTCGATTTGTTTCTCGGCAAACTCTACCGTATGCCTTAAGAACACTTGGAATACGAAACGAGTTGCATGGGATACTTTTTATGACATTTGAATCCTTTTTGTAAAAAGTTTAAAGAAGTTTACAATTCATTAAATGGACAAGTGCAAGCAGTTTTTAAAATAATGTCTTCATTTGTGATCCGAAAAAAATTAGGTAGCCTAATATGGCTTTAGAACAGCATCAGGTTGACTAATTTACTTAAGTTGTGAAGGCGTAAATAAACTAATCTACGAGAGAGAGAGAGAGAGCAAGCAAAATAAACGTTAGGTGTAAAAGAGCAGATAGTTATTGTTGGGGCCCCCAAATCACTAAGTCCGCCCCTGACTATTACTATTGCTCATACTTAGGGGCAGAAAAATGAACAAACCCCTAAACACTAAGTATTAAACTTTGCCGCATAACTCCTACATGATGATGGACATGATGATATAGCTTACTGAGGTGATTGCTCTTCTCTATGGTCAGACACTTTGGTTTAGCGGATGATAAAAAAAATTTAATAATTTATATATATATATATATATATATATAGTATTTAGATGAAATAAAATGAAATATAAATGACTATAAAACATATAAATGAAAATAAAATAAAATGACTAAAACTAAGAAAAACTAAAAAGTATTTTTTTTTATCTCAAACGAATTAAAATGTCAAAAGTACAATAAAATTACTAAAACTTTAAACAAAAAAAATAAAAGAAATGCTGAAATTATAAAAATAAAAGCCGATTCAAAATAGTAATAAATACCATAGCAGTTAATACTAATATAATTGCGTTTGTGTGTGTGTGTATATATATTCATATATTAAAATGTAAATATTTAAAGTAAATAAACTAATACATATTTTTAAAACTATTTTAAGTTTAATATTTTTGAGATAAACGACCACTAGAGATGAGGGGAAAATATTTTGTATTGTATAAGTGTATTAAATAAATATAATAAATTTCAATAAATGTATTAATTTAACATAATAATAATTATCAATGAATATGTTAAATATGATCAAATATATTGAAACATTAAGAAGTTTATACATATTTTAAATGACATTTTTACAAGTTAAGAGACTTAACACCACTCAGAGCAAGTAGGGCAAAATATTGTGTCGTTAGACCAACACATATTCAATTATTTCTATTTACCCGAAATCTTAACTCAGAAAGAGTTAAGAATATAACTGCACAAAGAACTGAAGTCCACAGCAGATGAACAAGAAACAAGTCAGTATAACACGGAAATAGAGTATTACTTACGATATTATCGAAACATGACTCACATATCAACATAATATCTTATCACCAGGTTCCTACTGATTTCCCACCCAGTCACATTTCCTTTCCTAGGCAGATTTTCACAACTCTATTTTATAGTTTACTATCTAGTCCTGCTATCTAGAAACTCTTTATCTTATAGCTCATAAGAGGGCACTTGTGCAAAATCAAGCTCCATGTATAAGATTCTTTGTTCGTATTGTGTTACATTTATTGGTGCCTTGCCATTTCACTTTCTCTCATTAAAGTCTCAAATCTGTGGTTGAGTGTGGAAGGGCATTAGCTCAGATCAGCACAGCTGGGGGCACAGGGAAGACGAGTCGCCATATAGAGCAAAACGCTCATAAGTGTCTTCTGCTGTGAGGGCGATTACAGAACACGGACCTCCTGTAGCTCCTGTTACTGATTTTAACAACTATTACAAGAATCGCTGGCCTGCTGTAAAAACGATAAAGAGGCTTGAATTATGTTTGCCTTTTCTCGTTTTGTTCCTGCAGGACTCAGCTCATATCCGTTACATGGAAGGAGGAGCCACATCTCAAGCGTTCCAGTTCTTCGTGCCCATTGGAGGAGGTGGAGGGCTTCACCTCCCTTCATCGATGTTCATTCGGCAGCCCAAGGACACAAGAGCTTCTCCAGACCTCTCTGCAGATGAACAGCTGGCCTGTCGCTGGAGGAAGGTGAGAAATAGAAGCAGTGAGAAATAGGTGCTAATGTGCATTTTTCACCTGAGCTCATTGTGCTTGTTTTCATGTCACAGTGCCACCTACTTTTTGACTCCTTGCAAGACCTGGTGGATCACGTCAATGACTTCCATGTAAAGCCTGAGAAGAATTCTGGGTACTGTTGCCACTGGGAGGGATGTGCACGCAAAGGACGGGGATTCAACGCCAGGTGTGTTTACTGCATTCTCTAAATCAGGTTGTCTTTGAATCATTTAGCACCAGCAGGGGCCAGTTGCATAAACTAAGCCTCTATGTTAAGACTTAGTCTTAAGAACTAGATCAATTAGCAGTTAGCCATTGAGTCTAATTTTTTGGATTCATTTTAGACCAATCTACATTTTTATGTAACAAACAGAAAAAGAGTTATGACCCGTCTTAAAGAAAGCTACATTTAACAGCTGGACAGGAGAGAATTCGATTAATCTTGACTCGTTGATAGAAATTAAGCTATGGTGTGTTCAGAAAAACATTAACAATTTGGCTAATATATTATCTAAAATATTTCACCATATTCTGAAGTGTCCACATAATTGTGCATGTTAAAGGGATAGTTCACCCAAAAATGAAAATTACCCCATGATTTTTATTAACCCCCCAGAGCTATGTAGAGTAATTTTTATGATGGATGGATGCACTTTATTGGACTATTGAATTTCAACACCCACTCACTGCTATTATAAATCTTGGAAGAGCCAGGACACTTTTTAATATAACTCAGATTTTATTTGTCTGAAGGAAGAAAGTCATACATACCTAGGATGGCTTGATGGTAAGTAAATCATGGGGTAATTTTCATTTTTGGGTGAACTATCCCTTTAATTTTAGAGGTATATTGTATTGCTGAATATCGACATGTTGAAGACACTAATGGACTTGTTTAGTATAACAAGTCTTTTTCTCTTTTAAAATACTTACCCACCATATAACCCATTTCTAGGTTCATTTCCTTGGAAAGGAACATTTTGCAATTGCAGCCACTAGTAGAACCTTTAAGTTTTACATAAGACATACCTTAAGACTTCTGTCTGCATGATTAGGTACAAGATGCTAATACACATCCGTACTCACACCAATGAGAAACCTCACCGCTGTCCCACCTGCAACAAGAGCTTCTCCCGACTGGAGAACCTCAAGATTCACAACCGCTCACACACAGGTCAGTACCAAGTTAAATGTATGGATAGATAGATGAAGATCGCATCACCTGGCTGACTTAGTGTTTGTATTTCAGGAGAGAAGCCCTACATCTGTCCATACGAGGGCTGCAACAAGCGCTACTCCAATTCCAGTGACCGGTTCAAACACACGCGCACACACTATGTGGACAAGCCCTACTACTGCAAGATGGTGGGCTGCTTGAAACGCTACACAGACCCCAGCTCCCTAAGGAAGCATATCAAGGCTCATGGGCACTTTGTAGCCCAGGAGCAGGGAGGTCCGGGTGGGGTGGGCTCAATGATGAAGCCGGGGCAGATCGCAGTGGCAGGGAAAGAATCTGAGCTGACTTACGTCAGTGGGGCCCACATCATCATTCCTGGTGCTGCCGCTGCTTTCCTGGGCAGTCACGGTCTGCAAGGTCTCAGAGGCTCCCTCCCCTTGTCCCCCCTCAGTCCCTGCCCCTTGGACTTGAGCACACTGGGCTGCCCAAGCTCCCCTCCAGCTGGGCTTGGGGGGACATCCATCCTGTCCTTCAGCGGTTCCCCGCTTGGTCTGACAAAGTCACACTTTCTGTCTCCTACCTTCTCATCTTCCACGTTGGGGTTGCCCATGGTGCCCATTTTGGGCTCGGAGCGCAGGGACCATGGCAAGGGCAAGGCCAGAGGCGAGGAGGGTGAGGACGAGATCCATGGCGGTGTGCTCAACCTGTCTACGGGGGCATCCCACGACCCCCTGTCTTGGGTTGTCATCCCTTCTGGCCCAGTGGTGCTGAAGCCAGCTGTGGTCAACTGAGCACCACATTCCAGAGGAATGGCAGGGGAAGGGTGGGGGTGGAACAGCGGTCAGAGGTCAGAGGCAAGCATGTGGGGGGTTTTCACAAAGCAAATGCAGTTATGCTTGGAGGTGACACAATCTTCTTCAACTTTTAGCGCTACTTCAGTTCTAATTTGTACCTTATGGTCGGACACAGCTACCTGTTTCTTGTGATAACAGAGATGGTATCTTGAAGAAAATTTTGCGTAACGATTCAGAAAGTGGCCAAACATTCACCTCCGTTCCTTTCTCTTTCTCTCTGGCTTATCTTTTTACCAGGGTTGTCCAATCCTGCTCCTGGAGGGCCACCTTCCTGGAGAGTTTAACTTCAGTCTACACCAACACACCTGCTTGGAAGTTTTGAGTAATCCTGAAGAGCTTGATTAGCTGTGTTTAATTAGGGTTGGGACTAAACCAGTGGTGGGCAACTCTGGCCCTCAAGGTCCACTGTCCTGCAGAGTTTAGTTACAACCTTTACCAAACACAAACTAAACCCTACACTAGGCAGATGAGTTTGTTAGAGCTAAACTTTGCAGGACAGTGGACCTTGAGGGCCAGGGTTGCCCACCCCTAGTCTAAACTCTGCAGGAAGGTGGCCCCCCAGAAGCAGGATTGGACCCCAAGTCGTATCCGCTTTGTTTTTTTTGTTTTATGAGAGCACTGATCTAAAGGCAGACTTAAGAATCTATGCCCTTGCTTCAAGAGACAATTGTATTTATGTTTAAGAGAAACCTTTGGACGACAGTGTACGCAACACACTAAAGACACAAACTTGTGCTATTATTCTTCAGGAACTGACCTTCCAGCCATTCCATGCGTTATGAAATGACCTCTGAGCGTAGATAGCCAGAGATTTTTGAGGCTAAATCGCATGGGCCTGGTCAGGTTTGCAAAGGGGTGCTGAGGTCATAGGTCAGGCAAGAGCAGCTCATTTACTGGCCTAAAAGTGTCCAATTCTGGCCCTGGAATGCCACTTTCCTGCAGAGTTTAGTTTCTACACACCTGGCTGTAAGTTTGCAGTGATCCTGAAGACCTTGAGTAGCTGGTGCAGGTGTGTTTACATAGGGCTAGAGCTAAACTCTCCCGGACGGTGGCCCTTTAGGAGCAGGAATGGACAACCCTGCTTCAAACTGTCCCGAGTTCCACCTCAGAGGGTACCCTTTGCATCCCTTGCAAGTGAACTTCTTTAGCTCAATGCTATTACAAGCTATATGACGAACCTTGCATTTGCTGCTAGCTGTGTCACTGCAATATTAGCATACATCTTTGAATAAAAATAGACAAAGTATGAACGACAATCTGTCCTCTGAGGAGGAGGAAATAGAAACCTTGACTAGCTCTATTTTGTTGAATAAGAGATTTACAGACACAAGGCTCAGACTGACTGAGTTTTAAGTCATACAAGGGCACAAACTCTCCAAGCGGTAATGCTAATGCCCCATAGGACATGGCGCTGATGTAAATAGTGCCATCTTCTGGTCATTACTTGTACTGCATACTACTAGTTGAACCAAGGGCCAGATTTAACAGTATTGCCCTGCTTTGCAGTATACTAGCTTGGCAGGGTAAAACAAATAACTTTTGGTTGATGCAGAATAGTGGAATGTTTAAAATAAACATTATCCACAACCCATTGAACATGCTGACACGTGCAATGGTATGTTGCAACAATTAAGGGTCTAGTTTGGTTTCTCAGTTTGCCCCATATTAAATCACTGTGCTAAAAATCGAATTATATACCCAGAGATTAAAGTAGAGACTTAATAATAAAGTGTAGAAAGCACTATTCAGGTGGATTTGATTTAAGACCCTTTCACATGACCCACATCAATGTTCTCCAACGCATCAAACTCTATAGCGAGGCATCAAGTTTCAGCATCACTCCTGACGTCACCTTACACAAATGGAGCTGTAGGCGACGCTCCAAGTACTAAAAATTTCACATTGGACCCCATTTGCCTCTGATTTTCCCTAGCTGCATGATGCATCATTTTGATACATCATACAAACTGAAAATCAAAACTCAAAAGACAGATTCTGTGCTAGATTTTAGGCACATTAAGTTGTACAACACAACCTTAAGGCAGATATTCATATTCTACCTGTTATGGTGCTATCTGCAAAGTCCTGAAGTGGGTCATGTGAGTGAGATTTTACACAGTCTTTGTCATCAATGTGTCGCGATCAAGAACTCATTCAAATTAAAATAACGCTCTTGATTAAGTCTTCTCTCCTTGATTAAGTCTCTGTCCGCTCAGGAGAAGTACTTCTGTAAGAGAGATTACATATTTAGAGCTTCTTTCCGTAATGTCCATTACTCGTAGATTGGGATAAAAAAAAAAATTAGGGAAATGAACTAATGTAATTTAAAAACATTCCGACTGAAATAATCACACTTCCTTAAAGCATGTACCCTGCCCTCCCCTCCAAACCATTTTTACACTCAAGAGTCTTATTCCATAATTATTTTTGTTTTATTGTTTGTAGAAAACTATACAATTATTGCCATTTTGTTTTACTGACTTTGTTTTGGACGTGACATTTCCTGATGTTGAAGTTGCTTTGTTTCTGTTATTGCTTCTCTGTGTTCAGCTTTCTCCAGCTAGTGAATCGCGAGGAAAGAGGGAGAAGTGACAGGAGGAGGTGATGGATAAGTTTGCGGGAAGTGTTTGAGTAAGAAACCCTCACATTTAGCCCATAATTTGACCACGATGTTTAAAGTTTATATACTGTATAATGTATATGTAATGTAATGTCCAATTACTGAGTGAAAGAGAAGAGAAATGCACAATTTTTTAGACAGCAAATCGCTGGTGCTTCCTCCATTCGCTCTAGCATCACTGCTAGAAAAAATGTTGCCACTGTCCAGATCTTGATCGTGCGCCAGGTTTCAAAAGTAGGCCACTGACCCTTACACGGCCCCTGAGATAAGCGATAACATGCAAATGCATGCAGTAATCAAACACAATCCTCTCAGGTTTGGAAAGATATGACATCAGCGTGTATTTAGGAGGCTTTACTGGAAATGACGTTTATAAACCCTTGCATCTTTCCAAGAAGTTGGAAATCTCTTCTCCTACTCCCTTTCCTTATCTTGTTGGCTGGAGAAAGCTGAAACTGACACAGACCTGTCAAGGTCTACATCAATGTTCACTATCAGATAAGCTGTTTGAACCTTTAACCCTTTGAGCACTCTGAAAACGGCCACACTGTTTCACACAGGAGACTCCAAAGCCCTTAACAAAACGATGGTGTGTTCCCAATGACTCTGAACTTACCGCAGCTGTTTTGTGAGAGGCAATAAAATGAATGGCAGGGAAGATGTCATAGCTAGATATTTAAATTAGATATTCATGCCAGTAAAACACCAATGATGTCAGAAACTATATACGGTACATAAATTAAGCACCATTTTAGAAAAAAAATTTAATAAAATGCTTACACTAAAAGAAAAGATATTTGCATGTTCCTAAAAAGAACTAATAATAGGACACATTCTTGAAGTGCCACAGAGATGCACAAAGGGTTAACAAAAAGACTATGGCCTGGAAAGGCCAGTATCCATTTTTATTTTTTTCCTTTTTTGCACATTTTTGAGATATTTTAATATCAGTATTTTAATTTTTCTCCAAGTGCCTTTTATTATAGTTGAAATGTAGATGTAATACAGTATATGAGAATAAATATATATATAAATAAATATATATTTTTTCCCAGCATCATGTTCTGAAGCCGAACATGCAGAATTTTAGAGCTGTAAAAGTCTCCAGTTGGTACAACATAGGTGTGTGCTCCTGTTTTAGAGGATTTTTATTACGATATTGATAAGGATGTCAATGAAAATAAAAGAAACAAATGTTTAATACATTTGCATTTGATATATTGCGCTTCACCGAGTCTTTTTTTCTGAATGTTTGGGATATTCATGCACAGAGGGATGAAATATTTATTAACTCAGATCAGGGTCTTAGCCTCGGATGAGATGTTGAACTATTTTTCTTGGCCCTTCCATCGGTTTGCTTTTGCTCAATGCATCTGACCGATCCCAGTTTGCATAACTGAAATATACATAACAGCGATTCTAATGTAAAAGCACAGTGTTTTTGAGGATCCCAAAACACATTTCAATAAGTGTTTATGATGTCATCCTCATTAACATTTGATATTTAATCCTGAGGAAAAAACACTGAAGATGCAGATTTTATTAATCATAAATTTCTTATATACTGTATAATTTGAACACATATGTTCAATATTCAGTCATTTTCTTTGTTAATTTCAGAGCGATTAGCTGGTTTGAATCACAGATCAATATGGGGTGCTGTGTGTACATTAATGAGGAAAAAAATTAACTTAAATGATTTTAGCAAATGGCTGCAATATAACAAAGAGTGAAAAATTTAAGGGGGTCTGAATACTTTCCGTACCCACTGTATATATATATATTTTTTTTAAATGTACAGACTGCATTCAAATACATACACTGCGGTTGGGCAAAAATTAGAGAAAAAAAACAACAACTTAAAATACAATAACAAATGTAGCTATACATATTATTATATTAATATTTAAATATATGAATTTTAATTCCATTACTCCAATGGCAACACATGTTGCTTCTCACTTACAGTATTTATGGTACGACTCTTACAGCAGTCCAGCTTAAATGATGGCCAAATGCATCAAGATTTTTTAAGGAATGTTCTGGATTCAGAAAAACTTCATCTGCTGCACACTGTTGATTACCACAGACAAGCATCATCCTTCAGATTGGACTATTTACAGTTACACAGCTGAAGTCTATGGAGCATAATATTATACTGGGATAAACCTTAAAATACTGTTTCTAAAGTTCAGCCACATGACGTAATCATCATGATAGGTGTGATAGAATCACTTATTAACCATGTCTGGACAATCTTTCATCTTTGGGAAAAGATGGACGCCAGAAACAAGGACATTTTACTGGAGAAAAATCCACTTAGTAAATGATTTCAGTGACGTACAATGAATTAATTCACCAAGAACTGCTTTTAAATCCAAAGTTTTGCCTAGACTTTAATTGTTGCAACACTGCCAACAGTTTGCTAGTTTTAATACCTTGTTTGTTTAGTTTGTTGGTACCTTATATTAAATCCAGATCATTCCTTTCAACATGAACAGATGGATGGATACATAAAACTCTGCGTATTAATATATAAATACAGACACACACACTACTTTTCAAAAGTTTGAGGTCAGCAAAAAGTTTTTTAAAGAAATTAATAACTTGATTCAGCAAGGATGCATTAAATTTATCAAAACTGATAGTAAATACAAAAGTTTTCCATTTCAAATAAATGCTGTTCTTTTGAGTTTTCTGTTTCTTGAATTAGAGTGGTTTCTGAAGGATCATGTGACACTGAAGACTGGAGTAATGATGCTGAAAATTCAGCTAGCTTTGCATCACAGAAATAAATTACATTTTACAATATATTGAAATAGAAAACAGTTCATTTAAACTGCAATAAAATGTCACAATATTACTGTTTTTACTGAATTTTCAGCAAATATATGCAGCCTTGGGAAGCAGAAGTGATAAAAACATTAAAAAATCTGACACCAAACTTTTGAATGGTCATGTACATTTTTAACCGTTAGAAAGTTCCATGAGTTCCTGAATGAAGTGCAACAATTCTAGAACATTGAGATGAATTACCTTGTAATGTAATGTCCAGAAAATACTCCTGCACTCTGACGGATGAATAAAGAAATGATTGACATTTTTAATGTACAAAAAGATCAAGTTTTATTGGAAGTCTTGGTCATAATTACAGTGGAGGTGTGTGAGGATGGAGCTCACGTCTCCTGCTGCTGGTCTGGAGGTTTGGTTTGGTGCTGCTGTTGAACGGAGAGTTCTTCATCCAGACGCTCTTTAGCCCGTACCACCTACAACAGTCCACCACAAACACAAACA